ACCTCAACATGTTACGTCTCCTCCCAGTGCTTTATGGGCTGAAATAAACTCTTGACTTAAAAGTCAAGTCCTACAGGCTACAGTTCTATATAATGATCCAGATACTTCACATGTTGTACTGTTTACTGCCTCAGTGTTACATCATGACCTAGAACGTCACATCCAGTTCAGCAGTACCGGTTAAAAACCTGCACTCAAAACCACTGCCCCCTACCCAGAAACTCACATGCCACCCTGTTCGAACGCTACAATAAAATTGGAACTGTGAAGGCTGCTGAGAAGTAGATGTAAGCCAGTAGCAGAAAGCTGTAACTTTACAAAATAATTCTCGGTCTTCACTATGCTTCATTTTAAAACCTAACAATGGAAGAAGTGATAGATTTTAAGCTATTGCCCTTTTATTAATGCTGGTTTTCCACCCATAGGACATACCTTTGGGTATTACTCTACAGCTATCAATACCATTGCTTCTAACAGCTTAAGCCTAGATAACTATAGGGATACTTTCACTCATGGAACAGTTGCGAAACAGCTGGCTCCCAAGACGGATGTTTAAGAAGCCTCTAATATTCAGGATGGTAAAGGGAAGGGCTGCAAGATGGACCCGATGTGCACAACCTGTGCCAGTTTCTGTTGAGATGTGCCACGGCAGGTTTCATGCAGGCCAGGTCAGAGCTTGCAATGCCATGCAGCGCCGCCAGCTTTGTAACACGACCCACGCACGGCTGCAAGAGTTCCCAACCGCTAGCAATAAAACAGTATTCGCTATGAAATGACATCACCTGAGAAGCCGTTCAGAAAAATGGGAAGGTTATTTATTCGCTTTTTATCCAAAGAACAAACAACCCACAGAAAGTAAAATGTACTCATGATTTCAGCCTTGGCACTTCAAAGTGAAACACAGTGCAGTATTACATACCCTAAATTAATCTTAAAATACATTGTTTAAAACACATTACTATAGTAACAGGAAGGAATGACTTCAAGATCTTTTAGTATTTCAGCTTCTTTAAAGGACAGGCAGTTATCTCTTCTTTAACATTACGTGCGTGCTCTTCAGAAACGGCACAACAATTTTTACACATGGAAAGGGAGAAAAAGAAACTGGACTTCTCTCTTCTTTCTGTGTTGTGAAAACTCACTTTGAGATAAGATCCCTCTCTAGTGACATAATTATTGTCCTAGTAAGTAGTACAGATGGTGAATACTTATTTTTTTCTCTTCAGCATCATTCATGCTAAAATCACTCTTTAGTAGCAAGTTGGAAAATCCAAGCACTGCTAGACAATTAAGAGCCAATGACCAATGAAAGAAAAAATAGCACTTAAAAGCTGAGGGCTTTTATGAGCAGACTGTCCCACCTTCATCTTCAAATTATCCTTTTGCACTTAAATCCGTACTGTGATTCTGATACAGACCTCACTGTATGAATTTTCGGCCTCATATCGCTAACTTATCAATATAACAGATGAAGTGACCTCAGAAAGCAAAACACAACCAATAAGCAAAACCATAACAACTGTTGAAAAGGAAATAACTCTGCAGGTGTTAGGGTTCTGATGGAGAACAGATGTCACATAACAAATGTACCCATCCATAATAGCTCCAGTAAGATGCTGCTACATCTTTGCCTGTAATCTGCTTAGCCCCACATCTCGAACACATTAGAACAGCTCCTGTGAATATGAGTAAATTAAATTGACTGCTAATTCATCATCTAAAGAAATGCGGCATGTGCGTGAGGTGAGGTAGAAGTGGCAGATCTGTTGACGACACGCCAACTGAACTACACTGGTCAGCTGCTGAGCGATCGGTCCTGGCACCACAGCGTACATACAGGTTTGAATTTGGGAGAAATTCCTATGGCTGGTTTAACACATCCGGATGTCAATATCTATTTTCCTGATTTTAAGATTGGTAGGAAGGAAAAAAAAATAATAAATGAAATGCTTACTTCCCTTAAGCTGAGGGCAGATCTATGTATCTGTAGTGTCTGTATTCGATGTAAGACGCCAGAGGTGTAGGAAAATAACTGAAGTGTTAACAAAGTGTTAGCAGCTTTGCTTTTTCTTCCTTATAAGCTACTATCACTTCATGTCACTGAACCAATTCTCACACATTTGTCTGGGGGTCCAAGTGGAAAAAACACCTTATCCTTCAAGTCCACCTGTTGAGAGTATAGGATTATGTTGTATTTCTATCCGCAATAAAGCAGGAGCGTTAGTTCTTTTTGAACTCTGGCCAGGTGGATGCACATTTAATTGCCCTCATAGCTCCGCCTGTTCCAAAATAAAAACATCTTCCAAAATAATTGCATATTCAGAACTCTTTCATTTGAAGTGAGTGACCTGGTTTCCTCAAACCTGAAGCGCTTACCTTAACAAAAAGAGAGGGTTCTCTTTCTCTGTTCCTCTCAGCCAAGAATGGTTTGTACATATTTATACAGTAGCTAAATTTCACCTTGAAACCTGAATTTTAAAGTTCAGAAAGCTTAGAAAACCCAACAGGAGAATGAAGCCATCTTCTGACCACTGTTAAAAACAGAAGTAATGTGTCCTATAGTAATGCGTATGGTGAAAATTTCTGTGCCAATACAGTTACGTGGGTATGTTCACCCCAAGGCTCTGTACAAAAACCTGACTAGCAGAATGCCATGCTACGTAGAAAAGAAAAAGCTATGTGCGAGTAGTTTGTTCAGTCTGTTATTCTGATACAGCTCTGATATTCTAAACTGCAGATAGCCATTTTTTAGTAAGCTTTTCACACAGGTTGCTAAATATATATATATACACACACACTGTGTACTCCCTGATGTTCACGTTCCAGCTCTAAAACTTGCACAACAAACTTCAGATGGAACTTTAACAAAATTATCATAACGCCTTAAAAATGTGGGGTTTGGAACAGAAGTGGCAACCAGGTTCTTCATGTAATAATGCCATGTCAGGAGAAGACACGTCCTAATTAATCCAAAAGATCATATAGATTTGACTCCAATTGTCCAGCTGCCTCCAACCCATCAACTGCCTTCAACTTCCAGCCTGACGTCTGCTGTGGCCATGCAACTGTTCAGTATCTGTGATTAACTTTCAGCATGTCTCAAGGGTGAACCAGACTGTAATTTTAAAACCTTCCATATGAAGTAGTATAAAGACTATTCATACACGTGGTTGTGCAGAATACTTACTGTAACTACTGATCCAAAAGCAAAGATTGAGAATCATTCTGAAGTTACCTCCTCAGGTTGGCTAGGATGGAGTTGCCTGTTGTCTCTCGCTAAAAGTTTCCAATGCTTTGAGTGCCTAATCCTTAGTTCTTAGCTCCCCAACTGAGAATAAATAAAGAAATCTAAAGATTATTTGATTATACTGTCTACTTCTACAGCGTTCCCTAGTGAAAATTCAGCAAGCTGTTCAAAGAAGGTGAAAAAAAAAAACAAACCCTATCTTATATTTTGGCTTATACCATATTGCCCCTGATATGCACATCAGAACGCCGCCACCACCACAGTTCAAGGGGAACTCAACTTTTCCCTTAGCGATTTTTGGAACTGAAAAATTGCTGGACACATCTTGCTTTCAAGGGGAAGACAGGATTATTTTTTTTTAAATCATATCTGATCAAAATCAACAAACTAACTTTAACCTGTTGATGTATAAGAAAGCTGTTGACTTTTCTGGAACAATTCTTAAAAACGTAACGAAGGCAACATGGCAGAGGAGAGCTGCCCCTGCTAATGTGCCATCACGGCCACCGATAATCATCTGCTGTATAAAAGTGTCTTTGCTCTCAGGGGAATAACAGTCAGTGAACATACTCTCTCCTTTGACTATCACTGTTGCAAAATGTACCATGAGGAGAAGTTAAGGCAAGGTTTTCTCTGCTTCAAAGACATGTATAATAGATTCCTGCACCAGGTTACCAGCTTGGAGGATGGGATTTGTTTCTAATAATCAATACTAAAAAAGTGTATCTAATTATATAATTTCCTTCTAGGAGAAAGGCTAATTTGACACTTACAGGTTCCTTCACTTCTGTTTTCATACACGAGCGGTAACTCTATCACTTTCAATTCCTCTGTATAAATCTTTTCTTGAAAACAGGACTGAATTTGACCAGACACGGAATAAATCAGAAATAACAAAGCAGCATGAAATTCTGTTAAGATGATCCTTCTGCTGTGGTGATACTGTTATGAAGGGGGGTTGTTACGTGAAGGAAGGTACATGCTGAAATACACAAGACATGATTTATTAAGTTTATTTTATTGATTTACAGGTCACACCTACATTTTTATTAAAAAAGCTCTTTATCAACTTAAAAAATTACCAATGTATAATATACATATTTGAAAACTTCTCAACTGAAGTATCAGACACTCTTATTCCCCTCTCCTATTTGAACACCTCCTTCTTGCCGATTATATTTTAGCAGACAAAAGTGCAAATATAATACTACATACCTGCTGCACTGAGAGATCCTGATTTTTTAACAGTATTAATGCAGGGCTTTTCCATGCTCCAGCAAAGGATTCAGTGAGATTTTTAGTGGGTTTGAAAAAGGAAAATACCCAGAGGTTTTACATTGAAGTTTTTGAGAGAGAAAAAGACAAATATTATCAAAATAAAATTGTAGATTACTGTTTTGCTAATATATTTGACAAAAATTTACCTTCATTCAGTAATTCTTTTCAAGTATTTTGGTACTGAAGTATATATAGTAGTATTATGACAAATGAGTGCAGCTCCTTTCAAAGACAGGTTTATTATCAACAGAGTAATGGTACGGCTCAAGTATTTTCTGTTCAAGTTACCACTGAGTTGTAAGGGAATGAGAGAATTTTACTGACCCTTTAATACATACCTCCAACCCACTTGCATGTAACAGTTGTCTAGAACTTACAGTGACTCAATCACAGCAAATCAGGTTTTGAATACATGGCAGTGTAAGCACGAGAAATGATAATCTAGGTAACAGGAGCCTGCTGAGTAAATTTGTTTTATAATGGACATCCTCATTTAAATACAGACGCTGCAAAATATTACAGCTCTTTATAGGTGAGGAACACTTGTTCCTAGTTTTCCTAACATTTAATTAAAGCTTGCTATTTTGCTGGAACTGAGACACCAAGGAAAGAACCTGCTCCGAGGCTTTAATTTGTTTAGTCCCCAGGTATGCTGCACTATTACTGGCTGTATCCTCTAAGTAATACCGGTAGTTTACCATCATGCCACAAGAAGCAGCAATGCCCCGAGGGCTTGTGTCTGCCATCCAGTTTATCCGCCACATCACAGAGCCATTCTGAAGATGAAAATTTGCCACTGGATTAAGAGCATAGCCACGATGTTTCTCTCCATACAAATACCAGGCACAGAGTCTCATAAATGGTGAATGGAGCACTTTAACTAATTTTTCTGATCTCACCCACTCATTGTTATTTAAGAGTTTCTTTAGAGTTTCAGTAGTAGAGTCTCCCGTGATCTCAGAGATTTCTTGCCACTCTGATTTTGTAAAAAGTTCATTTGTTTCCAGTTCTTTAGTTTGTGAGGAGAGGAGACCAACAAGCCATTTTGTGAATCCCGGGATAGGTGAAAGAGTAGAAAAAGCTTTTATCTGAGGAAGTTCTTTCTGCAGGAGAGAGAAAAAAATTCATAAGTTTTGTCATGATTGACAGTGAGAAGTTATAGTGAAAGAACAGTTGATACCCTTCACTTGATGTCAAGCAAAAACTAGAGCTTCTGAGAATTAACTGATACACATAGACAAAAAAAGAAAAACAAAAAAATATCAACCTGCCAGTAATAGGTTAGTGACTAGAAAGCATCTGGAGAACAAAGAAAATTTTAACACTGACTAAATTATAGTCCACACACACAATCTACATAAAAGTACTTATGTAGTACTTACCAACACTATGTTCTGGTATATCATTTTAATAGGCAGTAATAAACAAATACAATCGCATGCCATAAAGAAGGTAATCAGAGGAATATGATTTTTTTAAAAAATAAACATACAAGTTTTCAAAACCTTTTAAATACCATTTATTTTTCATATGTAACTATCTTTGCTTTTAAATCAAGGCCAGTTTATTATTTCAGTCTATTGTAGAATCAAGAGAGGTACTATTTCTAGATTTTAATCGAAAGAAGTGTTTCCCGAAAGTTCTGAAAGAGGTTCACTATATAGGCCAGCTACTTTTCATGCTATTCCCAAACTATAAACGACATTGATAAAATAGCAAGACAAGAAATATATACTTCCAGTAAAAAACTTAATCAGTTTAATACTTGTTTCAACAAAATAGAACTTCTACTAATTTCTGAGTACAAACTATTAGCTATGTAATCATGTAAAGCAAAACGTGTAAGGAAAACTGTGTGTTACTTCTGGTGCACACCAACATGAAGAATAGAGAAGGCTGTCACTTGGACTTCACAAAAATTACATCAGTGAACACTGCTGAAGGAGTAGGGGGGACAGGGAGCAGAGGGAAGACGGAGCTGAACTGAAACAACCACAGTGCTGTTTTAATTACTGTTCATATAGGAAGAAGTGGTAAGAACCAAGACATTTGTCAACATTACAGAAGCATCTTAATGTCAACAGAAAATTGTCTTTAAATGACTACAAAATGCATTGTTTCTACTTTGAGTATTACCAAGATAACCATTAAAAAGTCATCATCGCTCAGATGCTACCTTACACTAGCAAATGTTAATGGAGCGCACGCTGCTAGGTTGGTTGTACCGCACCTGCGCTGTCGCATCCTCAGGTGCTGCTGTGCTCCCCACAAGGCTGCCATCTGCATTCTGTTTCATGAGGATGCAGAAGCGAGGGAAGGCAGGTCTGGCATACACCTCCGCTACCGACTGGAGCCAAGCACCATTTCTAATAACTTCGATAACCGCAATAATATTCAGCTGGTTATTTACAACATCTTCTTCCTTCCCACACAGAGCTTCCTAAATAGCTTACTGCTGTTCTGCTGGCTTCCGGCACTGCAATGCACCGGCCAGCTCAGACCTACCACCTCTCCCCTTTGCAACTTACAGTTGCATAAATTGGATAACCTCACTTGCTCCCCTTATCTGAAGTTCTTTGACTATTATATAGATATGTAAGTCAAAGAATTCTGGTTTTGGGACCGCACAGGAACAAGGCAGGCAGACCAAGTTACAAAGAAACATCCCATTTCATCTCCTTAGAGAACTGAATAAAGCAAAAAGCAAATTATTTTATAAAAACACTCATTTCTATCTCTTACTGAACAAAACAACCACTTACGTAATCAGAGAGAGCAGGAGATCCTGGCTGCGTCGTATTCTCAACTGCTATAGCTACCATGGTCAGATAATGTAATACTAGAAAAGCGTTGATCTCCTGTGATATGATATTTTATTCTGAAGAGTAATTCTGAATTATAAGACTGTAACAAGATCTGTGAAATACAACTATCATGTTTCATCACGTATGCATTTCATAAGAGAAAAATTATTATTTGGAAATTGATGTGAAGACATCTGTCGAAGGCAATTTCTGCTGCTATCTTAGCACTTAGCACAATTTTAGAGAATACAGCATTTATAAAATAAAATAGTTTAATAGAGTTGTGCTCTTACTGCAGGCCATGGCTACAAGAGGCATGGATATGGAAAATATGTTTTAATTAAAAGAATGTTTTTTGTAGTAGACAGTTCAGCCGTTTTAGAAAAGTTTCCCCTCTGCTTTTGAAAAAGAGAGCAATGACCACAATAAATTAAAAAAAAATCTGCATTTGGGAGCAGAAAAAGGGCAAGAATGAAAACAGAACAAAGCAACTCCATACACTTCCCAACCCCACACTGAATACTTCCCCACAGATATAAAGACTATTTATCCACAAATCAATTCAAAATAACTTACAAAATCTGAACACAGAATCAATCGCACCCACTAGATCTTCCTTTGATCACCCTTCATCCACCTTCTTGTAGGGTTTCTGAATCAAGGATATACCTAACCATCACACTTGGAAACCACTTTTCCTTAAAGCAGCAGGACCTTAGTGAGTGCAGTAGAGGAGAGCTATGCTCAGATGCCCCCTTATCAGCTACACTTTCCTTGACTGAACACTGGCTCTCACCAAAGACAACACTACTAGCATAAAACCACAGATCTCCTGGAGAAAGAGGAGGGAGAAAGATAGCACAGAACTGAATTTTTAAAGGCTACTGGAAACATAACATCAAGACATTTGCTCCTGGAGAAGCAGCTGATAGCTTTCAGTTTTGTCAAGATGATAACGAGCAGCATCACGTGGTACCTTCATTTCTCCATCAGTGCACTGAAAGCTGACCAGTGGTGACTGCACTGTGACCGGCCGTAGCTTAGCTGCTGAGACAGTCTGCTGTCAAGTAATTTGACTTTTTGCATGTCAGCTCTTGCTGCAGCTAGATGAGTTTCTGCCCAGAAGGGAGGGCCACAACTCCCTTCTGAAGATTCAGTGATCCAGTACCCTTCTGCCTGTCCACACAATAATGATGGATGACAACTCAGCAACTGCCTACGATGTGACAGACCTGCAAATGAACCCTACGGTACAGAAACACAAACCTGTAATCTATAATGAGAAGTACCATTTTCATGTCAGCATCCTTAAGCAGTGGCAAGCTGCCCCCAAAAGACACTGGACTTCAAAATGGGGTTTCCTTCTTCTATGTCTTCATTCCCCGTTGTGCTTTAAAGTTCATCTTTAGTCCATAACACAGAGAACACAAGAGAGGGATAAATTGTTAAAAGTTTTCAAATTAATGATATATCAATGGGAAATCCTAGATGTGCTGCTAGAGGGAGTACAGATAGCACTATTGTGCATTAGGGGCGAAAAAGGAGGGGGGAAAAAAAAAAAGATAAAAAGGTTGTTGGAGGCTATTTTCCTCTAGACAGGGATTCAAGGGATACAGGATGTGTTGCTTTTTGACTCAAAGATGGGATTATATTCCTTAAAGGTTTTCCTTTTTTTCCTAACTGTAGTACTCGTCCTATAAAAGATAGTGCCTTTGAGAATATATTGCTTAGGTCTTTTTCATGAATTCTTCACAGATGTTTGTGGTTAAAACCTGAGAGAGGAAGAAAGAAGGTAACGTTGAAATTTGAGAAGCAGAAACTCTTCTTTCAGGTAAAAGGAAAAACTGATTGGACCACAAAGTCCAGGCGGGAAGTCTTCTGCACCATCTCTGCTAAGAAAGCACAGTGTTGGAAAATACTGTTTTGCTACAGAACTGAGCTAACAAACAGGGCTTTTCACACAGGAGCTGAACCACACCCATTGCTTCCATCGGGTAACAATTCCCATCTCGTCTCACAGCTTGCAGAGCCAAGACTAACAATGCACCATCCACAATGACACAGGTGAGAATGAACGATTTCTTCCCATATATGTTTGTTAACAATAAAGACTGCAAAGTTGCTAATTAAGAAACTGACATATTGTTTCCTCGTGATGTTGACTGCTCTTTGTTTATGTCACTTTCAGGACTTGTTCACCAAGCCCAACCCAAAATATTTATCAGAAGTTAGTAGCTCCTACTCTACTAATAAATACAAAATGGGAAATTGTGCTTATTTTTTACTTCTTAGGACAGATAAGACATGGGAAAGTGACCCCATTTTGAAGCTACAGTCCAGACTACTACATATCTGATAAATGTTTCAGTTCAGGAGCTTATCTGAGGCAGCCTTTTCTTGTAGAAAAATAAATAGATGCAGCAAAGTATGTACATTTATGTTGTTGCTAAATTGATGTGTTAGTTTCTAAGGCTATTGGTGGAGATCCATTAATGTTTATTTTCTTGTCAGAAACCCACATGCCATTAAGAAACAGCTGCTCATTTTGTTCTGGGGTAGATTTCTGGTTTTGGTTGCCTTTTAAGTTTGGCTTTTTTTCATTGCAGAAAAGCACAGATTTCTCCTATTATCCATATCTCATCCGAAACTGTCTTGCGCTCTGAAAGCTGCAGTCCAAGGTCACATTTTTCATCAATGAAAGCAAAGCCCGTTTTGGAAATGATGATCTCCCCAGGTCACCTAGATCAAATTAAGGTAGAGCAATTATCAACAGTCCAAGCAGAAAGTTAAAATCTGCCACCAATTGTTAAGTATTCTACTGAGTCACATAGTAGCTATCAGTTTTCTCCCCCAAATGCCACAGGCTATAAAATTCTAAGCAGTTTTCTCAAAGGCTTCACCACAGTTATCTGTGTCTGTCATCTGCAGACTGAATTGCTATGATGTACCTTCTGCGGAGCTCCAGACCATTTACAGTGGCTATAAACACATTCTGAATTAAATGTCTGTCTAATGTGAAATCTATCTGTCTAGGCATTCACCAGCACCTATCAGCTTGCCAGAAATGCATCTGCCTGCTTGTTTTCCAGCACCCAGTTTGGGGTTTGTTTGTATTCTTACTAGTTGTCTGAAATGGTTTCAAAATCCAATTCATTCCTGGGAAAAACACAAGCTTAAATATAAGAAATACAAGAGATTATTTCTGTTGTCTGTTCCCTGCTTTATATACTTTATATAATAACATAACCAAGAGACTATACAAAATGCATAGGTAGCCTATTCTCAGATTTGTACAGGGAGAACTGGGACCAAAGTGGTATCAGTGGACTAACGAATTCATCACACTGCCCATCCAAAATAATCCAAACAGGAGATGCTCAGGTAACAATAGAAGCTTGTTAACAAAACCCTTCTATATTATTTGTCTAGCAAACTTTCGTCAAGCAATCACCAAAAAAAGAATAATCTCCTATTTAGAGCAGCATACTTTCTCCCAGGATGCCCTTTGTATGCAACACAAACTACGTCCCTAAGGTCCTATTCTGATCTCCATTATATCCCTCCATTTTACCCAATCCTATTACAATACCTGTGGCAAATGCCAAATCATAACGTCTAGGTAGAGATTAAGGATTCAAACTGCTAACTGTGCACATATAAAGAGATGAAACGGAGGACTCAGTTCTCTGACTCAACTTCATACGTCCTCCATCTGCTTAAATTAGTGAAAGACTCAAAAGCAGGAGCCATTAACTTCTATGCAGTGCTTCAAACTAACAGTGCTTAACGTGGAGAGTTGTAATCTTCGCCAGAGCCTCTACTGCCGCAGTCTTCCTAATAGTCCTAATAAAAACCATTTGCAAGAAATACTCTTATGAGGGAATCTGTACTTGACATTCTTTGAAGGTGAGAAGTGCTACCCTACATGTGTTCATGTTTAGCAGCGTATGCGACCAGTTCAGACAAAATTATCAAGATTTCTAAAAAATCTTAATTATCCATTAATGAGATTTTAAGGAATCTGGTACTAACTGAATTTATATACATAACTTTATAGTGTAGATACCTGCTAGATCAATGTTTCAGTACAGTTTTTAAAAATCTTGCGAAATAAAGGCTTC